GTGTGGGGGGAGACTGAGAGAGTGTGAGGATGTGTGTGGGGGGAGACAGAGAGAGAGAGAGTGTGTGTGGGGAGATGGGGTGGGGGGGGGGAGTGGAGAGAGACAAAAAGACAGAACACAAACAGATTCTAAACAAGGCCTCACACCTAACACGCATTGTCTGACCTAAAATGTCACCTCTTCTTTACATTGATAAAATCTTTAGTTCTCTCAGTCAGTGACTTGAAAGGAATTCGGTACATACATATACATATTAATCAATTAAAACCTTTTGACTGATTAAACATTTAACAGCATCTTAGGCTTGTTTAATACATTCTCATCTGTGGTGTGACCCTTTGATCTTTTACTCATAAATTCTGTGTCTGATACCACCTCACTAACACCTGAAGAAGGAGCAAGGCTCAAAAAGCTTGTGTTTTCAAATAAACCTGCTGGACTATAACCTGGTGTCATGTGATTTCTGACCTTTTCCACCCCAGTCCAACACTGGCACCTCCACATCATTCCTAATTAACCCCATGCCATTGAGAGATCATGTCTGGTTATTTTGTCATTCTGTCATTGGCTTCCTGGACTGTCAGGATCATTCCTTGATTTCCTATTTTAAGGCATAATAAGATCATCCTTTACATCCGTGAAAAATGAGCCAGCAGTACTCTTAATACCTCTCATTACCTTAATACCTCTTAATATCTTCGATTTGTTCTAGATACAGTTCCTTTTAAAGATGTCTGTAGACCTGGGATCGTGCCTCTTCATGCTAGTTGGATAGGCAGGAAATAGTTAGAATGCTGATGCTACATTAACAAAAGCCTACAATCAGGAGTGCCAGAAGTGACTGTTCCTTGCCTCTCAGCAGTCTAATCAGGCACTGTCTGTTCAGGCCCATCTTGAGAATTCCTTCTATTCTAAAACTCCCCACATTCTCTGACACAGGATAAAAGTATCTAAGACACAGCACGATGCCCATCCCAAATGAACTGTGGTTAATTTTTTTAGCAATGCAGTGTGTGCCCACCGTCTGGAATCCCCAGTGTCATTGAATTGGCAAGAATTTATCTCCCTGGTATGTGATATCCTGTGGTAGATATATTCTATATATGTACATTTTTATTTTTAAAAAAATTATATCAAAAGGTTGGACTGTTTCTGCCTTGTTTCTTGATTCATCCCACTCAGCTTGTTTCCAGATATTTTGGATAGGAAACATTGAATAAACTTAGGGCTGCATCTATCCATCTCCAAATCAGGAGGGGCCCACAGTGCAAATCTGTTCGTAATTTAACACTGATTTAGAAATCTCATTTTGAGAGCACCGCAAGACTGGTGCAGGAAACATCAAAATGTTACCCTGCTGCAGTGATCCCTGTATTGAGAACTAAGGCGTGTGAGAGTGTTCAGAGCATTGTAGAGGGAGCTCTACTCAATCTAATCCTCTGCTATGCCTGTCAAGCAAGTGTCTGATGGGACTATGTAGTACAAGCTTTACTCTGCATCTAACCCCATGCTGTACATACCCTGGGACTCTTTGTTGGAATTGGTGGGAAGGGTTTATTCTGTGTCTAACCACGCAGTGTACCTATCCTACAAGCATTTGTTGGGACAATGCAGTGAGTGCTGTGCTCTGTGTCTAACCTATGCTGTATCTGTCCTCGGAATGATTGATTAAAAACCAAAAGAACTGTGGATGCTGTAAATCAGAAACGAAAATAGAAATTGCTAGAAAAGCTCAGCAGGTCTGGCAGCATCTGTGGAGAGAAATCAGTTAACATTTTGGGTCGAGTGGCCCTTCCTCAGAACTCAGTTCCAGCAATTTCATTTTTTGTTTCTGAGAATGATTGATACTGATACTAATGTCCCTCAACTCAAAGAGCATAAAATGAGCTAAGAGTGCAATTTAAAATGCTTCCCCATAAAAACTTGCATCCCAATAACATTAGTATACACATGTGTTGTGACTGCAGCCACAAATTGTTTCCACTAATGAAACTTAGCACCTTAGCATTAGGGCAGCTCCATTCTGAAACCAGATGAAGTATTCTTCTATTGCGAACCCTGGAGCCAGTGCATCTATACTTGATATTCAAGTGTTCAGTGCAGTTAGGAATGATTTAGATATCCATTAAGAAATACAAATGCTGAACTAACAGAATTGGCTTTGAAGAGCAGTGAGAGCTGGTCATGAATAAAGAAAGAAACTATTACAATGTAGATTTAGTCCAACCTAACCAAATGCATTTTCTGTGGAGGATAGTTGTTTGATATTGATTACAAGTGATGGTGTAATATGACCATTTATCTCTGAAATATGATTACGTATATAGAATAAATCACTTCTTTTACATAATGCCAATGTAGTTTGTGATCTCCATATGAATAATCTGTTAGAAATACCGATAGCCACTTATGGGGTGAGGTGCAGGGTTTGTGTAAATTTAAAATAGGACAGAACCTTAAGTTGGACATGTGCCCAGGAGACATTTCTGTAATTTTGACATTAAATGACACAACAGTGTTGGCTGTATATGGTCAATTTGCAGCCCTACTGATTTGTACATGAGATCACACTGCTGGTGTGGTATAGATATCTTGTAAAATTCTTTCCATCATTGTTGAGTTCTCCCATTTCAATTGATGCATTTCTTCTTCCAATCATTACTCACTGTGTGTGTGCATGTAAGAAAATTGTATAATCATGGAATTGGGCTTTTCTATGACCTGACTACATGGATAAGCTGCACTTGCTGACTGAAGATGCTGAAGAGTTGGCTGTGAGGGAAGATCTGATCACTGGTATAAAAGACCTTTCAGTCTTAATTGCAAGTCACTTGGAGGAAAAAGTGCTACACATCTTTCCTGGTTTCAGTGCTTCAGGGATGGCATCAATTCTGGTCCTGAACTCTTGCTTACAGTTTCCCTGTCTATACCCTGTGGTGTAGTGAACCTCTAGAACATAGTCTGTGATATAGGGAAGCCCCTGATCAGAGAGTTAGATAGAGAGAGCCCTTAAACATTCTCCTCGTGTAAGGTAGCCCCTCACTGTGCGCTCTGGATTAGCGGAACCCCTGACCATTATGTCTTTTGTAGAGGAACCTCTGACCATATCCTTAAACTAGGGGAACCCCTGACAGTTACGTTTGGTGTATAATAGCTCCAGAACGTTCCCTCTGGTAAAGGGGAACACATGAATATACTCTCTGGTCTGGAGAGTCCATGATCAATGGCTCTGGTGTAGGGGACTCCTACCCATACTCTGGTGTAGAAGACTCCTGACCACATTCTGGTGTAGAAGACCCCCTGCCCATACGCTAGTGTAGGAGAACCCCTGACCATATTGTGATATAGAGGAGTCCCTGGGTGTACTCCCGGGTGTAGGGGAGTCCCTGGGTGTAC